ACAAATTTTTTTTATTTATGTTATTGCTAAAAAAATGAAGTATGTAAAATACTAAATAAATATTAGGTTATATAAATATTCGGTAAACGTGCGATCGCAAAAGTCGAAACCGTTGTAATTACAAAAGTCAATATCGTTTACTAATTATATCAACCGTTGCGCTAAATCGTTTGACGACCGGACGTAATCGATCTTTTAGTAAAAATGAAAGTTCTCGTCGTTTCGACGACGGTTGCCACCGATCGTTTTCCAAAAAAGCAATTACGCCGGTGCCGACGACAGGACAGATAGAATTTTTCAAAGATGGCAACAAAGTTCGTTATGGAAATACGTGAAGGGTATAAATTTTAACCAGGCATCAGCACGAATGGGTAAACATACGAGAAGGTATTGTTTATTGTTAACCGTTTACGCCTACGACGCGTTAAACGCAAACGTCGAGGTGCCTGTAGATCGCGTTCGAGAAGCGTTGAAAACGTTAAATGCCGCTCAAGTCATATTTGATGGCAGTACTATGTATTCATTCAGAGGTTCTAATAGCGATATAGAAATCGACATAAATATTACGTCACTGAATAATATAAGATCGATTTGCATTTGTTACTTGTCGGGCGGCNTATAACATCGATTTGCATTCCTCGTTTGTCGGGCATCGATGAATCGGATAAATTTAATAATATGAAGTACGGGTGTCTGCCGACACATTATATACCGACAGAGGTATAAGACTTATCTCGAGAACTTCCCCGCGCGCCCCGCGCAGAGGATGCGGCGTCGTACGGTGAATCGTACGGTTTCCACGCGATGCCAACAAAAAGACAACCGAGTTTTAGCTAATCTGGAAAAAATCTGTGATTCGGTCCAAGACGAATACAGTTCCTTTGTGGTAACGTCCCATCGGACAAGCGAACAATTACTGTCCGCTTATTAAGTATGAAATAATAAAAGAATAATTCATAGGTAACATTACATAACATTAGGTAACATACGTGTTTATCGCGGAATGCAGGACCGATTAATTTAATAACAATCAATATCGTGTAAAAATATTAAACATTTGTATTGCGTGTATTTAGAAATTATAAACGTATGACGAATAAACGCGTATTAGTTATTTTTTTAGGTGAAATTTTTTTTATAATACCGAATATTACAATACGCAACAATACGTTTAACGTTATTGGTATGTTAAACGTATAACGTATAACGTATATTATAATATATAATAATAATAATAATATAATATAATAATATATAATAATAATAATATAATATAATAATATAT